TAAGGCAGCCCAATAACTTACAGGTGCCATGATGCTGAGTGAAATGTACAACAAATTTATCTTGAATTTTCCAGGTAAATGAAAATTGGTTTTCAATTTGGTTATTGCAATAAAAAATACAAAAATAATCATGGAAAAGCCTAAAGCTCTTCAGAATTCACGCGAATCCGTTTTGCCTTCAGTACTGCCTTTGCCTCCCACTTCACCCCTGGCAGAGGAGCACAGATATTGTTGTCGGCTGGTGTAAGAATTTGCCAGCTTGCTTCTCACTATATTATCATCATCACCTTAACCATGCATGCATCTTTAACTTGAGAGGGACACCGACTTTTAGCTGTTGTTTTTAAGGGCCTGATAATTGAGTGACTACGAGCCCTGGTAGTGTAGTTGTTACCGTTGGGCTGTGATGCACATGGTCAGCAGTTCAAAACTACTAGCAGCTCTGCGGAAGAGAAACTGCGCTTTCTACTCCAGTTATGGTTACAGTCCCAGGACCCCGCAGGATGTCGCTTTGAGTCAGCATTGACTCTATGGCAGTGAGTTTGGTTCGGGGTTTATAGTTGTACTGACAGTGTCAAAAGGTGCAGACAAACAGGGAAACGCAAGAAAGTATAACCCCATTAAGTGAGTAACTTTTATAAATTGTAGAGAAGAGTTTTTACTAATAGCAGCAATTTACACAGTGATAGACTATCATATTCATCTTTTAAAAAATAAAGAAAGATTCTAAATCTGAATTTCTTGGCACAAAATAAAAGTAAAAGGATGCAATAGACATGCCACATCCACGCACATGGTTTTAGTTAAAGCTTGAAAACAGGGAGGGAGGTGGGAGCATAAAGTAAAAGCTACAGGCAACTAATGTAGCAGAAGGGATAATAGCGTGCTATAAATTGAGAAGGAAATAAAATTAATGATGAGCTTTAGCAGCCAAGACACTGAGCTAATATTTTAAACTTGTCTTGAAGGGGAAAAATGGGGGAAAGATATCTAGACATTTGGAGAATGATGGAAACTGCAGAAATAATTATTCAAACCTGATAAGGAAAGAAACAATAACCAGAATTAATTATGTAAAATGATAAGGTACAGGTGTAATTTGTAATGACATAGTGAAAAACTTTGTTTTAAAATGTCTTTGAAAATCATATTGAAAAGAAAGAAATAGAACTTCAGCTTCAGAGAAGCTCCGAAAAGACACTCAAGAAATTATTTTGTTGTTGTGAGGGATCAAGTCGGTCTGACTCATAAAGGCTCATATAAAAGAGAAAGAAACACTTTATGAATCTGTACCATCTGCACAACTGTTCTTATGTCTGGGGATATTTTTTTTCAGCCACTATATTAATTTTGATGAAGGGTTTCTTTTGTGCTATCCCTCTATTTTACGAACAGTAATGATCTTTCCCAGTCAGTGTTCCTGTCTTATAATATGTCCAAATGTGTGAAACAATAAAGAATGAAAAACACCTGTTTAAGCGAGAAACAAAAGATCTCATCTATCACCTAATTTGCCACAATGCACCAGGTAATTTCTTATTCAAATATATTATTTTTCTACTGGAGTAAATTTCTTTACTATATGCTGACACGCCCCCCCCCCAAAAAAAAAACCCCACATAATTCAAGAGGAAAACAAATAAAATACTTTGAGCATAGCACATGGCCATTGAATCAATTATGGAACTTTTAAAAGATAAAAAGCTGTTTCATCAAACATTAAGCAGAAACAGGGTGAAAAATAAATATTATCAGAAAAAGGACTTCAAGATAAAAATGTTGCTAGCTATAAAGACTACTTCATACTTATAAGACAGACACTTTATCCAAAAACTTGAAATCCTAAAGTATGTATATGTTCAATAATAAATCTCCCTGATAAAGGGAAAATGATAGAAGTGAAGTGAGAAGCAAACATATCGTACATACCTGGCAGGGGAGACACCATGATCACGAAGGTGGTTTTCCCAGGCAAGGCTCATCCATTGCACTCTGGATGTGCAGACCCCTGCGATTTCCCCAAATGTGGGAAACTTGACTGCATCATTTTTTTTCTTCATTGATATTGTAAATTTTTATTTTGCAATTATAGATGTACAGGAAATTGCAAAGATAGTACAGAGTGTTATGTACTCTTTACCTAGCTCTCCCAAGAGGAAAGATCTTGCATAATAACAGTACAACTTCAAAATGAAAAACTGACAATGGTACAGTAACTATTAACTAGACTATAGGACTTATTCAGTTTCACCAGATTTTATATGCATTCACTGGCGTGTGCATGTCCATGTTATTCTATGCAATTTTAACACAGGTATAGATTTGTGTAATTACATCAAGAAACAGAGCCATTCAATTCCCTTTTATATCAGTTCTTGTCTCTAACTACCACTCATCTGTCCCTCATTCCTGAAAGGGCTATTTCCACTTGCGGGCTACTGCAAAGAAAGCAGTTAGAAACAGTTGGACACAGGTTTCCTTTCTCTGAGATAAATGTGAAGGAGCAGAATGACTGGTCACATGTAAAGTGGAGGTTTAACTTTAAAAGACATTCCAAATTCTTTTCTAGACTGGTTGTACTATTTTACTTTCCCATCAGATAGATGAAATAAATAGTTTTGAAAGGTCCAGTTTTTGTGTTCAAAATTCAACAGTATTTGGTATTATCACTATTTTTTCCATTAGCCATTCTGATGGATGTGTAATGATAACACAATGTGATATTAATTTTCTTTTTCCCTGTCGACTAATAGTATCCAACATTTTTTCCATACTCCCACTCATAAATCTTCTTCACTGAAATATCTATTCATGTCTTCTGCCCAATTCCTAACGTTTTTTACTTTGGAGTTTTAACTATTCTTTGTATTTTGTAGATTGGTCAGATACATAAAAGGTTTATATATAAGTTCCCTCAATTTGCAGGTTGTTTTTTGCTTTTCTTTAATTTTTTACAGAGCAAAGAATTTTAATTTGGATGGAGTCCAATATGTCAATGCTTTACTTTTGAGGTTCAAACTTTTATGGGAAAATCTAAGAATTGATTGCTTGCCCTGGATCCTGAGGATTTTCTCCAATTGTTTCTAAATGTTTTAATATCTTGCATTTATGTTCAGGGTTCATTTTGAGTCCCTTTTTATAAAAACGAGGTGGTTTGGGTTGAAATTCATATCCTTAAGTCGGGGGGCTATGGATGCCCACTTGTGGAAAAGGCTATCCTTTCCTCTGTTTAATTCCTTTCGCACCTTTGTCAAAATTACTTGGGTCTATTTGTATAGGTCTGTTTCTGTGTGCCCATCCTCCGCTGACAGGCTTCATTATTGTGGCCTTATGTGGTAAGTCTGGAAATCAGCTTTATGTATGTCCTCCAATTTTATACGTCTTCACAATGGACTTAGTGTCACTCATTTTACATCTGGGTATTTTGCCTTTCCCCAGCTCATCTCCGGCTTATTCCAGAGAAGAAAGCTCTCGCATAAGCTCTTCTTTTTCTTGTTGCAACTCCTGCAAATACTGTTGGTTTTGCTCCAGTCTGTCCTCCAACCACTGCGGGAGAGGCCCGCTGACTGCTGCCATCTGACTGCACAGGTTCTTGGTAAACACGGGACCGTTATGGATCTTGGTTCCTGAGTCCAGATGAGTAAGGCTGTGGACCCTCCTGTATGCATCCTGCTCCTCCTGACACAGGATCTTGGGTAACTCTACTGCTGATTCAAGGCACACTTTCCCAGTGGTGACAGGAAGCACAATATGGATTGGGATTTCGATTCTCTCATACTCGGAGCTCTTCTGGGCCTGTATGGACTGGAAGCAAGTGTAGAGCAGGCGGCCAGTCTTGGTGTTTTTATCTTCAATGAAACAGGAGAAAATCAGTCCTACAAAGTTTTGTTCCATCATCTGATACCTGGCTTGCGTGCGAACATCAATATGTGAGCTCGGCCAGTCTCTCTGCCTCTGTGGAAGCCGCAGACAACTGCTCTGGAGAAACCTCCACTCGGTCCTTCCTCTATCAGAACGTGTCGCAAGATGATGACAGAGTGAGTGTGAATAATCTTCCCAGTGTCGACCTTTTCACCAACTATTCGGAATTCAGTTCCAGTAGGTACAAATTTTGAGTCACTCCTATTGGGGCTTATGTCATCATTCAACTCCCCGATGCACAGCCCCATCACCTCCTCCTTCTCTGTGCTCAGAGCGTGGTTGAGGCAGACGAGGAAGGCGTCCGACTCCAGATGTACGGCCTGCACCAGCTGCCCCGCCATCTTGATCCGATCGCCTCACACCCGCCTTCTCACAACTGCACAATTTGTGGTAGTAGGGGACTGCGTTCGCGCACTCTCCTGGAAAAAAAAAAAGATAAATAAATACATCCACAAACTTAGCTACATGTTTTACCATTCTGCTCCCGATGACTTAGCCAGAAAGAGAATTGAAGCAAGGAAAATTATGCATATCATTTGAGCAAAATTTGATTTATGATATTATATATATTTATAGAAAGTACACCCAGCAAAAGTACACCACTCATTTTCAAAGGCGTAAATAACATTTAGAAAAATAACCACAAAATAGTCTATGAATTTTTGAGGATCAAAATCATACAGAACAGATTCTTTAAACACAAAACTAATACCATTTTCATAAAGCCATTTGCGAAATGATAATATAGGACTGACAAGTACTGCTGCCCCATCGGGTTTCTAATTTTCAATCCTCATGAAAGAACATGGACATGTTTTTCTTTCTCTGGTCTTTCACTTAAGAACTGATCCCTAATACACAGTGGTACCAGGGCCCTTCTCTTTGACTAAAAAGTATTTGCTGAGAAATAAGTAATGATAAGAAATTCATAAAATTTACAAATATTTGAAAATTAGACAACACATATAAGAAGGTAAGTCCAAAAGCAGTGCTACTAGGATTCCATTTCATACATGCTTGGGCTTATTCCATTCAGCAGTGTTTAAACATTTTCTGCCATCAGTGGATGCCTACAGAAATGCTATCTCAGCACTATACTTAGTTAACAATGGCAGAGTTGTTAGCTTGTGTTCAAAGAAAAGGTCCAATCAAAACAGTGAATTCTGAGGGGATCAGATAGTCCAGTTGACCAAGAGGTCAGATCACAGGCTATAGAGAGTATTTGGGAGATTTCAAAAGGAGAATCTTGATCTATTTTCTCAAGGGCACAGAATGATCACAGAGGCTCATCATCAAGAAGTTCTAAGAAAATTGAGAACTGATTTCATGAGAAAAAGTCACTTTTAGCTGAGAAGTCCCTCAGCCCCACCATGACAATGTATCTGCTCGTTCTTTGAGGGCACCAAGAGCTGTTCTCCATGTAGTTGGCCCGAACTTGAAGAATACTGAAAAATGACATGTGTGCATCCTCAAAGACACCCAAACTACCATGTGAGTCTGAATTCAGAGTCTGCTGAGCTCCCGAGGGAGGGCTAGGGGGCAGGGATCGCCCTTTCGACATGTATAGGTACAGTGAGAGGGTATGTCGAGAGTCAACAGCTTCATGTTTTGATATTTTTGTTTGATAGAGGTGTCTGTGATTTGGTACAAACAGGTTTTTACTTACCTTTGTGTACTGGAGGGCAATCCTAAATCACATGTTAGCATTTCACTCTCTTAGCAAAACCTGGATAACGTCACATTGTTGCATGGATTGTTTGAATGGAAAGACCTTAAGGCATTACAGTTGAGAATGCAATGGAATAAGCCATTCTAGAGAGAACTAACTGTATGTAGTCAAGGAAAATATATGAATGAAATTTCGAATGACCAAACAGTATAACTTTTGTCATCCTTCACATCCCCACACATTTCTTTGCAGGCAAGTGTTTAAGTTGTTAATCACAGAAGTATGTGTGGAATCAGGAAGTCAGAGGATACATAAAGATTTGGGGGGTGGAGGCAAACTGAGAGAAAATTTTAATGGACAAATATAAACACATACACTCAGCAATGTGAATATATTTTGAAAATATTGGTGGAACTAAGAGGTAACTTTGGTTGACTGATATCAGTTATATTAGTAGATATGTAGAAATGTAAGTAGGTTTGGTGTCTTGTTGGCAATAATTTGGGGTGATTCTTTCTGATAGACAGTATTTGTTCTGTGAAGTGGGACGCAAGGCCATCTGCTGAGAAACACATAGGTAGAGGAGTGTGGAAAATGGAAAAGTTTGACTACAGAAACTAAACAAAGGAAATGTAATAATAAATTGTCAGCAAGGATAGAGGTCCAGCTGAGGTCGGTGACTATGAATTTATATTACTAACAATCTCTTTGGTGTGTGATTTCTTTTCTAACAGTTCCTAGCTGCCCATCAGGAAGCCTGGAAAAAACTGATAGTAAGTCAGCCATAAAAGAGAGTATGAAACACATTCATTTATTCAGACAAACACATTTTTTCTTCTCCTGTATTTTTTTAAATTATCCAGTTGGCACTTACTTTTATCTGATGCTTCTATTGGAGAGCATAAAGTGAGCTTAGCCATGATTAAAATGGCAGTGTGGAACAGATGAATTTTAGGAAGGCTATGATATGTTTAGAAATCTGATCACAAGTATAATTTCAGAAAGTTAACCTTCAAATTTTTGCTATAAAATAGAAGGGAAGCTATGATGAATTAGAAAGGATGGATCCGGGATGTGTCACTAATGAGATTTTTTAGTTGGGACTCATTCTTAATAATTTGAACAGCAGTTCCATCATCTACTTGGGGAAAAACAGAGAGAGAAAGGTTTAGGTCACTTCTGCCAACTACAGATATAGTAAAGCAAATGATTCTAGCCAGAATCTCGAGCATGACTACCAAATACTTGGACACAGAAAAAGTGCTAAGATACTTAAATGAGTGTTTTCCTTTCTCCTTCTTTTTCTTGGGTCCAAAGATACCGTATGGAACAGACAAAACCTTCTTTTTGAACAGCAATGGAGAGGGCTGTCAATCACAGGGAATTCAGAGTCCATCTCCTTTTTTTTTTCATTTATCATGACTTGAAATTAGATTCTAGATGTTACACGATGAGGGTAGCTAACCAATTACTGGAAATATGATAAAGAATAGATGAAG